GGTATGATCATACCTTCGACCTATTTGCTAGCTAGAAAAACTCTGAGCTTTAGTAAATGTAAAAACCTAGGTTTTTGCATCAGCAACAGCATTGCTTTTACACACTCAAGGGGGAAGGTTAATTTATAAAAGAAGGAACAGTTTTTATTTTTTATTTTTAAAATATTTTTTGCCGCTTTAGGTTTTTCGGAATTTTTTAGAGAATAAGAGACCATTAGTTCTAATATTTAGGTGCTTTAAAATATCAGTTCTACTTTTTTCGCATTCTTTGCTGTTTTTTGCTTTAATGCGACGTTTTCGGATCGGTAACGCCTAAGGTTAATCTATTGTTTCTGTTTTAAAGTTTTGACTCTGAAACGTACGTTTCAGACGTCATAGACAATGCTTAGTTTTTTAATGGTGTTTCTTTAATAGACGAGTATTAGTCGGATTTTTCCTCTGTAGGCTCTATAAGGCTTCGCTTTATCCATTTTTCATAAAAGGACCCCCTTAAATGTGCTGCAAGCGTCTGCTCAGGCATATTAATAAGAATTTGTCTCAGCAAAAAGTTTCTAATGGGAAAGGTAATCCTAAAGTTTAAATCGTTTACGTCTTTTTTACCTCTTCAATTTTTCCATTCGATTGCATTCTTTGGGTTGCCTTTATTTTTTTTCAAACTAGCTCTGGAATTATGCTAACTTATCTTACAATAAATCACGGTCTTGGCGCCTACATTGCCACCTACTGCATTTTATTTGGCATTGGGATGGGAATTCCCTACTCTGTAATCTTCCAAGTTGCGTCTTCCGTAAGTCGCATCCTGTGTGCTTTTTATATGGGTTGTCGGAAATGTTTAATTTATTTTTTGTCTTGTCAGAATTGAAAAACATTTGATTCCTCTTTGTAGTGGTTCCCCGCGCATCGCGCCACCGTAGTTGGTATAATCGCCTCGGGGTTTGGATTAGGAGCCTTAGTTTTCACTCCCATTCAGACTAGAATCATTAACCCCAATGACATTCAGCCCACAAGTGGGTAGGTGATGTGCATTTAAAAATTTGTTTCGCAATACTTGACTTTCTTTCTTCCAACATACTAGCCAACCTCCAACTTTACATTTAGGAAATATCCAGATGAAGTTGAGGCAAGGATTCCACGCGCATTCTTGATTCTTGGAGGAATTGTACTTGGTTTGGAAATTTTAGGGACACTTTTGATGAGGAACTGTCCTCACGTAAGTCCAAATATTGAAAACTAATTCGATAGTGCTTGATATTAGGCTAAGTATCTAAAAAGGCATTTTTCTTTTAGTCAACCACTCAAAACAAATCAAAGGCTGAGAGGTAAGCCGTTTTATTATTGGGAAAGCATTAAGAAATGGGACATTTTGAACTTATGCCTTTTTTACTTTCAGTTCTAACAACAGCAATGTCGAAGACAAAGGAGAAGTTGAGGAGCTCCAAAGCCTGTAAGGGATTTATGTCCTAGTTAAATGTTTAGAAAAAACACTTAGTCTTACTAAACAGCTCTTTTTTCAAAGGGAAGACGCTTCTAAATCTGAGGCTCCAGTCATCCAGCAGAGAAACTTCTCCATCAAGGAGGCCATCAAATGCGTGGATTTCTACATTTTATTCGGCGTTGTCTTCTGTGATATCATACCAGTTACTCTTCTTACCTCCACTTTTAAGGTGATTTAAACTTCGTCCCTTTACTGAAGTCTTTGTTGCAGTTTGTTGGTGCAAAGGGTGAACTGTTTTATTAAGGCTATTTCTTGTCGATGAGGTCCCTGTTTGACTTGAGTTCTAGGAGTTTTTAAAATGAGAAAGATTTTACGAGAGGCAGAAGCAAGGTTCTACGCAACTTGGCCATTTTCGCTTCGTGAACGTCTTTTTTCCCGGTCCACATCATTTATCAGTCTAGCTAGGTTTGTCACTCGTCAAAGTTTGTAGACTCTTTTAGGACAGAAGTCATCTATGAGATTTTGCACAGACTACTATCTTCTTTTGTCATTTACCGCTTTGGTCACAGGGGATTTAAATATCGCATCAAGCTATTACGCACCGCTCCTTGTATTTTACTATAACGTAGGACCTTTTGTCATTTTCCTAGCTGTTCTGAAAGTCACACAGTGATGTATGGCATTTACTCCGCTGTAAAGTCTAACGTGTGCTGGTAAAGACTAGACTTGCTGATGGACTGCTTACCAGACAAAATTATCAAATGTTATTTCCAATTTTAAATATGCCCTATACTATCTGTCCTTGACGATGTAAGCGGAATTTGTCCATTTTAAGGTTTACGGGATCGACAAAATTATCAATACAGATGCCCTAGAAAACTCTCTGGCGCTATTAAGGCAAATTGTATTTCCAATTTTAAATATGCCCTATACTATCTATCCTTGGCGCTCTAAGCGGAACTTCTGCTTTTTAAGATTTACGGGATCGACAGTCGATTAAAGGACAAGTACTTGTCTGACATTGCAACCACCTGCTCCGCCTTCAATTGTGTAGGCCGAATTATCTGGGGCCTGCTCGTTGACCACTTTTCTTACAAGGTATTGGCAACTTTTTAATTTCCGCCCGCTTTGAGGTTTGTTTTGCGATAAACTACAAATTTCGATTCTATAATGTATTTCAAGGGTGCAGTTTGAACCTCTTGCGGTTACTTGGCTTGTAAATGCATTCAGAAACCGCTGAGGGTTGCTTAACTGTGACGCATGTTACCATCATTCAAAATTTAAAAAAATCATTTCCTTGTACTTTCTTATTGAATTATTTGTTTAGCTGGCAAATGCTTGCTGTGTAAAATCTATAAAG